TGCACAGAAGGGCTCCACTTCACAGGACATCTTCATTAATAGTTTTAAACCAGTGCCAACCACATCCCAAATAACTCCTCCTGCATTTCTGAGCCATGAAGTCACCACAGATCACAGCAGTGAAGCCATGGCCCCTCCCAGTGTCACCAAACAGCCACTTTGTGTGACAGGAAGCAGCAGTACCTGCACAAACTGGGTTTTTAAACCAGTAGCTACTGTCCAGCTCTAGCAGGGAATCATGGAATCACAGAGTGTCTGGGCTGGAAGGGACCTCCAAAGCTCATCTAGTCCAACCCCCCACCACAAGCAGGGACATCAACTAGATCAAGCTGCTCAGAGCTTCATCCAGCCTGGTCTGGAATGTCCCCAGGGATGGGGCCTCCACCACCTCTCTGGGCAACCTATTCCAGGGATCTGTCACCCTCACACTGAAGAACTTTTCCCTCATGTCTACCCTCAATCTGCCCTTTTCCAGCTCAAAGCCATTGCCCCTCGTGCTGTCCCTCCAAACCCTTGTGCACAGTCCCTCCCCTGCTCTCCTGTAGCCCCTCTCAGGCACTGGGAGGTGGCTCTAAGGTCCCCCCGGAGCCTCCTCTTCTCCAGGCTGAACAGCCCCAACTCCCTCAGCCTGTGCTCCCAGCAGAGCTGCTCCAGCCCTCCCAGCATTGCTGTGGCTCCTCTGGACAGCTGGAGGAGCTGCTGTCTCTGGTGGAAGGCACCTCCACCCCCCTGGGCTGGTACTTACACACTTCTCAATTTCCAAGCCATCCTTGAAGAAGATCATGTAGGGGGTCACCCCATCCTCACGGAAATCCAGCAGAGCCACCATGCCATCTGGGTTCATGTTCTCTCCTACAAAGAACTGTAAAGAAACGCCTTACTGAGACATTTCATGAGCTCTTGCCAGAGGAAAGTGCCTTTTTATACAAGCTGCAACCTCTGAGTTGAGTTTAAAAGCCTCCCTGATGAGCTACAGGGATTTTGCTTTCTGCAGCCTCTCTGTTTTAGCAGCACACAGCTTCACCACAGAGATGAACAGAGTCCACCTGTCAACCCTTTAACCCCACAGTTCATAAACAGTGATAAATACAAACACCCTGAACTGCTGCAACCTGAAGTGAGACCCAAAA